GGTGTTTTTTATATTCATCTTGGATTACTGCAAACTTAGCATAACATGAAGTTGCATGTTGCAGGTGTTGTAGACAGTAAGTGAAATGGTTGAACTATTAAAAAATAGATCATAAGCATACATTCTAATATTCAAGTTAAGTTTGACATTTTTTTTTTTGTTATAGATAGATATTATCAAGGCTTGCTGTGCATTATTAGAGGAACATAATGTAGGTGTTAAGGCATTACCTAGCTTTTAGGACATAAACTGATTTTTACAGAGCTGAGCATTTTTGAGTTTAACTCAAAAAAACATTTATTTGACAAAGAGTTTTTAGGAAGTTAGATAGAATCAGAGCTTACCCTGTATTCAATGCGCGCACCCTCAAACGCAGAAAAGCTGACAACAGTTAATTATGTTCCACTTTATTTGTAAACACTTAATCTCATCTCAAATATCCTTGTTATGTTTTTAATATGTGTAGTCAACCTTAACAGAACACAGCTTCCACACATTAATACACATACAACACAAAAAACAACATGAAGGCATTAGTCACAAAAAAAGGGGAGACAAATATTGGCTTTAACAGCAATATCCATTACACCTGAGTCAAGGTGAAAACATCAACATCTTTCCTTCAAGGCAGTTTGTAAAAAGAGCTCAAAGAAGGTATTACTACTAGGGTAATGATAGTTGGGAACTCATTGTTAGGAACCGTGGAAAAAGGTAGGACCCAAATGCAGAATACAAAAAAAGGTCAAAAGGTCTAGGAACAAAAAGCGAGCTTTATTTAAAAAAAGCTGATGAACAAAAACATGGCATGAAACAAACAGGTAGCAACAACACAAGAACTGACCGTGACCAACAGGGAGGGAGACAGGAAAGACAGGAGCCTCATCCCAATACCCCTCCTCGACTCCTCCTTTCCCTCACTCGCGTCCCTTCCTTGCATCTTAGCTCCACCTCCGTAAGATGCGAGCGAGAGACACGAGGAGGTGATGCGAGGACAGAGGAGTCCTCAGGTATTAATTGGGATGTCCTCGTTCACTCAAACGTCACTCTTAAACGACGTCTGTTAATGATGACATGTGCACAGCTGTATCCCCTCTCATCGGGCTCAACTGAATAACCCTTCAGAACCGGCCCATTTCTGGTTAAATATTTAAATGAATCTTTCTCTTGTTAGTCAAGGAATTCAATGTATGATGGTTGGTCCTGCTTTTGTGTTCCGGTTTGGTGTAAAATGTAGCCTACATTTAAATACAAATATAATTATAGTAATGTGAAAGCCTTTTAGAAATGAATTACACATAATAATTCCCACGGAGCTGTGAGCACTTATACATTTATGTGATGCTTTTCCACTCATCTTCCAGTTGTCGGTTTTCCTCTGTTCAAATGGACCAGCTGTGAAGGTGGGGGCGGGGCTTTTATACGCGAGTAGTGAAAACACTTCCTTGTAGTCTGCTCGCGTGTATCCTCCCTTTCGCCTCCTCCCTCACC